GTGAGTGTTGGGCTCAGTGGAAACGAATCTATTCCTGAATATTTTCATCAACTCTTCTGACATCCGCTCTATTCCCAGCTACATCGGGACGTGTCCTGCTGTGTGGCTTTTGAAGTCATTGCCATCTGGCCCACTCTGGCTGTCCAACCTCGAGTTTTACTATACCTCAATCCAGAAGTTTCCGTCATTACCTAGAGCATCTCAAAGGCCAGCCATGAGCCCAGAGCGCAGGTGTTTCTGCCGATGGTGCACCTGCCGTCTTCAGCTAAACGAGGGTCTTGGTTCAAGTTCCACTTCATCTCCTCATGCCTCGCCCAATGCCCGGATACTCACGTCTGAGGTATACCATTGCTATGCAATACTTCTTATTTGTCTAAGAGCTGTATCAGCAGAGAATGAAGAGCATTTTGAAAGTAGGAACTGTTACCTTGTCTTCGAGTAAGTACACCGGAGCCTCCGGTTTCTCTCCTTACCAAATGTTTCCAGGAGTCCTCTGTGCTTCTGTGAGGCTCAGTGGTCCGTTCCACCTTAATGGCATGCTGTAGTCCATTCCACAGATGTGCCAGTTCACCCAGTTTCCAGCAGTTCTGAGCGGAATGGCTGTGGACATTCATATAGAGGTTTTTGTGTGGGCGTATGTTCTGTTCACTTTAGACCTACTTGGAGTGGAACTGTGGGTCGTTTGGTGGAGTGCATTTGACTTCGTAAGAAACTACACAACTGGTTTCGGCCGTGACTGGACCATTTCATGTTCTCTCCAGCAAAGGACGAGACTTGCGGTCACTAGGTGTCCTGGTCAGCCCTTGTTCATCCAGTTTGGGGCTGTTGCTTTCCATTTTACAGGTGCACTGCAATTTCTCATTGAAGGCTCAGCTTACGTTTCCCTAATAACCCACGATGACGAGCCTCTGCTCATGCGCACGTTTTCCGCCTTCTTTCCTGTCTTCACTGCAGTGTCTAGTCAACTCTTTTGCCAACTTTAAAAATGAGATTCTTTTCTTACTGTTGAGTGTGAGAGCTCTGTACATATTGTGGAAACAAGAAATGTATCTGGGGCTGGCAGCGATGGCACAGCGGTAATGCAGGACTCTGCGAACAGGAGTCACACAGAAAGGTCTGGGTTTGCGTCCAGAGACCTCCCTGTAGATGCCCCCTGGGTGCGTGCCCGAGATCCAGGCTGATGGATGGTTGGGATGGATCGTGGTATGAAGACCGTGAGGGAGCCCCTGTGCCCCTCTCCCTTTCCTGAATGAAGAGGATAGGACTTGAACGCATCTTTTCGAGGACATAATTCAACCTACAAGATCAGCCAATAAACTCGCTCTGAGCTTAACTAGCTGGGGTTAGGTTTGGGATCATTTGCATCAGGAAAGAGGCAGAGCTGAGACTCACCACCAGGTCTCTTAATATCTTTAAAGTCGAAGTCAACGAAGACCCAGAGTTGGGCCTTAACCTTAATTAACCCCAGGACTGGACTCCATGCCTACCCAACCCCTCACTTCTAAAAGGCCCTGATTGTACTTAGGCAGAGACCCAGAGTTTGCCTCTGTCTACCTCACTGCCACTGCATGCAACATGCTCAAGAAAAATGACCGTGATTGCTGTCTAATTAATTAACCAAATTCTAACAGTGAAACTGAATTACGAATAGTCTGTCAGAGGGTGGTAGGCTTGAGGGAAGGCCAGGATTTTTATTTTAAAAGTAAAAAGCTATAATCAATGGTCTACATAGCTGCATTTCAACATTTCTCTTGGGGCCCACAGGTGGCATAGCAGTAAGGCACTGGACTCCCACGTGGGCCAACCACAATTCGACTACCACACCTGATGGGCTGAAACTCACACCAGGCATGTGTGCATGCATGCTCGCCCAAAATCTCAATAGGAGAATGGAGAAGGGATTGTGGCATGGCCATCCCCCGGGGGATGATTTCTTGCTTTCTGTCTCTGTCTCTCCAGTGAGCACACATGTCCTATACTAAAATCTCCCTCCAAAAAAAAAAAAAAAATCCTGAAAGGTTACATTAGGTGATGACAAGAGCATTTGCCCCTCCCCAGATGTTTCATTTCCAAGCAGAACACTGGCTGTACTCCTTGGAAATGCATTGGTGGGTTTATTTTAGGGTCTATTTTAGCTGTCATTCCAGTTGGTTACATTAAAAATATGAGAATCAAACTGGTCTCCTTCTTGAAATGAAAAAGTTCTTCCTAGGGGCAGGCTGAGGAAGCGAACTGATTGAAAGAGAGTGCAAAGCTCCAGGCAGGAAGGACAATGGAGTGAGACTCTAGGGACGGAGGGAGGATCTCGGACTTTGACAGATACAAATACAAGCACGTCAATAAGCCCATCCAGTGCTGGCCAGCTCTAAGGTGACGTCACCCCCACTCTTCTCCGGGGCCACAAATCACGTGTAACACCTCCAGACACTGATCACTCTCTTCCCCGAATCCTGCTGTAAGTGGCTGGTACCCCACGCACTTACAAGGCAGAGGTGTGTTAGTTTCCAGCGGGTGCTAGAACAAGGTGTATAAGTCTCCAGTGGCTGCTGTAACAAATCACCACTAACAGGAGCTCACAACAACAGAAGCTTATTCTCTGACAGTTATGAAAGTCGGCAATCCAAAACCAGCGTGTCCCAGGGCTGGTTCTCCTGGGGACCCTGAGGAAGAATTTGTTCATGCCTCACCCAGCTCCGGAGCTGCCACAACCCTTGGCACTCCTTAGTTTGCAGAGGAGTAACTCCAGTCTCTGCCTCCACCTTCGTGTGGTCTTCTCTCTGTGTCTCTGCCTTCCCAGAACCTTCTCTCCTGCCTCTGTCTCGAATCTCTCTTTCTCTTACAGGGAACCAGTTAGCAGATTTAGGGCCGACCGTAAATCCAGATGGTCTCACTGTAAGACCCTTACCTTGGTTATATGACAATGACCGTAATTGCAAATAGTCACACTCATAGATACTGAGGGACAGGACTTGGACATACCTGGAAGGGGGACACAGTTCAACCCAACGGTCGATTTGCGAAGATAACCAGCAGTCTGCATTTTTCACAGGCATATGCCAAATGACTCAGATGCATATGCCAAACAAGCCCCAGGCAGAAAAACTGACCCCACTGATGGAAATGACAGTTGAACAAGACATGGTCCCCTCCCTGGGTACCTGCCATGTAGTGGAAGATAGATCAATGATTAAAATTCAGTGTGGCTGAGTGATCTGAAGCAGGGCTCTGGAGTCAGACAGACAAGGTTCAAATCCTGCCTCCTCCAGTTATGATCCGTGGGGTTCTGAGACGTTCCTTAGCCTATCTGAGCCATAGTTTCCTTAACTGGATTATAAAAAAGAGTCCCTGCCTTGTCCCATGGTGAGACTGAAGCTGTGTAAAATGCTTAACATCGACGCTGCGCTCGGGACACAGCCCCTCGTTACAGTCAGGCTGGAAAGCGAGCCAAGTTCACTGTCACGTCGAGGTCCCTAGCAGCGTCTCTACACTCCTGGTCTTCCGTGACCAGGTCACTCTAACAGTACCTAGTGCCCAGAGAGTTGGCAAAGGCAATACCCCACAGAAACTCGGTGGGGTGGACAGAACAACCCTGAAAGGCCCTCTCAGGGTGCACTGACTTCCAGAATGAGTGTTTGCTGAACACCTGCTATGCATGGAGCTCAGTGTGCAGATCCTGAAAATGGGGGCCAAAGAAGACACACAGCCCAGCCAGGAAGCCAGGTGCAATACCATGTGGCCAGCGCCCGGTGGAAGCGGGCCATCACCGGGAGACACACCTAGGGACAGCTGTTGGCACTTAGCACTTTTACAGCTGAACAAGACATGGCCCCTCCCTGGATACCTGCCATATAGTGGAAGACAGATCAACGATGAAAAGTTATGGGAGGAGGGCCTTCAAAAAGGTCATGGAAAGTGTGTTTATGGAAAAACTACACACGGATTTATTTTTAAATTTTGCACCAAAATAATTCCATAATTTAATTCCATTTTCCACAGACGTTTTGAACTCCCCCTCAGAGTACAGTCTTTTCGCTCATTGTGTGACTTTCTCCCAGATGACGCCACTAAACCTGGAAGTTCTCGAGGGCAGGAGGGGCCGCCCGTCCTGGTGGCCACAGCGTCTCAATCGCTGAACAAGTACTCGATCCCTGGAGACCCGTGACCCCTATTTATGGGCGTGGTGAATACTCTGCTGCTGTTCCAGAACCCCAAACTGGACTTCCATGGAGAACCACCTTGAGCCTCTGGGACTACTGATTCTTGATAGGCCCAGAGACAAGACCTAGGTGGATCTGCCCCTGTCACAAAGCCTGACAGCTGGAGAGATCGGACAGGCTGCAACCATGTGTCCAGTACCGAGCAGTCCACAGGGATTTTAACTCGCACACCCGCACTTCCAAACCGAGGTAGGGCAGGATCGCAACGCTCTGGTCACTAGGAACTGTTAGAGTGACCTGGGGACCCCGAGGCTTGGAAAGGAGAAAGACGATGTGGGGATCCTCTTCTGACACCCCCAAAGGGGAGGGAAGGAGCCAGCTATAGCCTCGGCCTTGCTGGGACCGGAGTAAGAAAAGGAAGCTACGAGTTGGTCTTGAGATGGGGACGGTCCTTAGGAGAGCCAGGAGGGAGACTTCCCGGGGGTGGGCCTGGTAGGTAGCAGGTGTCTTGCCAGCCCAGGCAGCGGTAAGGCAGGGCGGCCCGCCTGCCCACCTGGGCGAGGAGCCATCAGCATCGCCTCACCTGCAGAAGCCAGCAGCCGCACCCAGGTCCACGAACCTAGGGTGGGCCGGAGAGGGCACCATGAAGGGTCTGCGAGCGGGCCCGGGGCATGTCTGAGACGAAGCCGTCGGGAGGCACAGCGGCCTCTGCTTCCACACGCCACCCGCGGGCCCTGGCGAGCTAACGGGCGCCCCACCCTGCACCGCTGCAGGTGCAGCCCGACCCAGGTGTGACGCCAGGACCCGGATGTTGCCTAGGGCACCACCTGTCCGTTTCAGTACCGGGCGTCCAATCGCTTGGTTCCAGAACAGCGGGGACCACGCGGCGGGCAGCTGGGGCTCGGCTCCTCGTCCGCCCGGGTCCCAGGGCTCGTCTTTCCGATGCAGGGCCGAGCCTCTGTCCAGGAGCAGGCCCTCCCGCAAGCCTGGCACCAGATGGCGCGGAAAG